ATATTGTGATAATATATATATATATATATATGTCCTTCTCTCCCCCACTTTGACTCAGTGTGTTGTTTTTGCAATGACTTCCGGTCAAATGTGGAATCACATCAGAGGCCCTCCCTATGCTCACAAAAACCCCCAAAATGGACAAGTGGTAAGTGTTCCATTGTGCTTGCACACACACACACACACACACACACACACACACACACACACACACACGCGCGCGCGCGCACACGCACACACACACACACACACAATACACATTCACTACTCCCTTGAGTCTCTTTTTCCATTAGTCCTATCTAGTGTTTGGCCAGCCCGCTTGAGTAATAATGCACTTGGTAGTATGCACCTTCCAGTGGGTCAGTACTGTGACAAGTTTTTTTTCAGTGCATGTTTTTTTCCGATTCGTTTTCCCTTGTGTTTCTGGGCAGTTGACACTTGACACTTATCACAGCAATGTGTGTGTTGTTCAATTTCAGATGCTTTTCGTAATTAACTGTAGCTGGTCATCATTACATATTTGTTTCACTAAATGTGAAATTAAATAATGAAACTATATGAAAAAGTGAATGAATTGGTAATCAAAGAGAATTTGTTTAAAATACTTCATCCTAAAATTATGTCTTATTGCTAAATTATCATTATTAAATTATTATCTTCATGAAAAAAAAAAAAAAGGTTAATTCAGATTGGATTATTTTGGTGTTGATTTCTAACTAGTGTCCCCCTGCTATAGTGCAGTTTATCATTCAGGCCCCTGCTGTATTGCAGGTTTTGCGATCGTTTTTTTATGATTTTTTTTTTTTGTCTTACAGTATGCTATTTACTGTAGTGCTCTCCCCTGTGGAAAAGGAGACCCAGATTCACCAATGCACTTTTCAACTATTTTATCGAATGCCGCGAGACCACTAAAACATAGTGTAAACGCAATGGGCACACTCATGCAGGAGCTGCAATCGGCCACAGCCCATATCCAGACGCTTAGACGTAGACTGGCCGACGTCACATGCCACTCTAGCGGGCCCCACTTCTTAACGGAACAGGAGACTACAATCTATAGTGAGGATAAGCAAGACGGATGAATGGATGGATTCTCATTTAATAATCAGTTGCATTCTGTAACACAGAATGATCAACACGTATTGTATCAGTGAGGGGGTACGATGACAAAAACATTTAGGGTTACACAAGCGAAAAAAGGTTGGGAACCACTAACATGCAGTGCAAGCCAAGCTTCAACCATTGCATTTTCTCTCGAGCTTCTGGTCCAAATTGCCTCACGCCAAATATTCAACCAAAATAGCAACAGCTATTGTTTTGTTAGATCCGATGCAAATTGCCCTGATATTTTCATATTTGACCACCTTCTTTCTTCCTTCTGTGATATCCTGAAATCCCTCTTTCCCTTCATTCCAGCAGTCAATAGCTTCCACCTGCCGGACAATATTAAAAAGATCTCTCTTATCGTCTCTGTTCCCCGTACCTTCCCTCCTCTTTTTATCTTACTCCCTTTTACATTCCTGTTTAATTTTCCACTTTCCTCCTCATGTGTGTCAGCCTCGTCAGACAGTGAAATTCTTTTAGAATGATGAGCGAGTGAGGTAGACTTTATTGAAGGGACTTTTGAGTGAGGTAGACTTTATTGAAAGGATTTTTGAAATGACGAATAGTACGAGCGGGTAGATATAATTTGTTTGAGCTTAAACACTGTGCAGTGCACAAATATTCTGCCTGTTAATTTTTGAAGGCACGCACACACACACACACACACACACACACACACACAGACCTGTGATCACAAGCGGGCCATAGTGAGCCTTCCCTACCCATCAACTTGCTTGCACCACCCTGCTTGAAGCACAGTTCTCTAAAAAAGTTCAGAAAAATAATAATAAATTAAATAATTGTAGAAAAAGGTACAGTCATTTCTATGTTAACCTTCACTACGGATAGCAATTTCCATACTTTGTATAATGTCACGTGACTTATGCATGCATGATGTCACATGTGGCTTCAGGAGTCTGCAACACAGCATGCAGTCTGGGGCTAGCATGTGCATTGGGCTGTGAGTTCGTTTATTGCGTGTTGATGGCCATTTAGTCATTCACTCTTACGTGTCTTTAAGCACATTGTTAGATTTGGCCATAGTCTGTTCCACCAAAATGTTTTGTTTGAATGTTTTCAGCGACATTTTCCGTGTACCCATGTTACTGCGTAGCAATGGTGAAGTTGTTGTCACGTCACAAATTTAGGTACCAGGAGTGGTCACAATTCAGTGTCACAATTAGGGATGAGTAGCAAAGATGGTACTTTTTGGGGTATGGGTGGATTTGTGTTGGTAATACCAAGTGCTGATTCATGTGAAATCAAACCTTGCCAAAGTTTCAGTTCTGTGAAAGAAAAACAATTGTGTATAGGGTTGCACACCTACAAACAATTAAATTGTGAATAATCCAATGGAATGAATGAAAGGGGTAGAAGCGCAATCAGTCAAATTTGCAAGAATGCATGGAATATTAATTCAGCTATATCAAATAGACAAGCCAGTTGCACCCTTTGAAATATTCAAGTCAACGTTTTTGGCTTCCTATCAAGCACTTCTTTGTTTGCATCCTATTAGCTGGGGAGGTTATTACCATATTTCCAGCTGATTTCACAAGGTAGGAGGAAAACATTTTTTGGAAATTGTTACTGTCTTACAGAAAACCCGTTTTATTTTTATGTTTTTCATCCCAAAGAATCATCAAAACACTTTTATTGCCTTGCAAATAGTAGACTTTCAGTTTGCAGAAGGACACCACTGTGTTTGTTATGTGCAGCAAGTTATTCCTTACACCACTGTGTGTTCATATTTGCTCCATCTCTTACTGTTTTCTTAAATCATATGGGATGACTCCAACGGTTCAGTTAGCAAATGAAACAAACTGACCTTCAGGCGAGACTTCCGCCCAAACCAGCAGATCATGACCAATAGTCACTGTGAAGTGAGATGTGAAAGAAAAAAAAACTATATATGCATTTACACTGCTTTGCTTTTGGGAACAACATGGCTGCCTACTGAAATCAACTGGTAGGGTTCACCCAGCCAACTAGCACTGATGCCTCAAGCGTGTGGCAATATTTTACTAAAAATGAGATCAATATCACAATCAGTTGCAAAACATGCCAATCCTTAAATAACAAAACCACAAGTGTCGGGCTATCAAAAAGAAGCCGCTAAAGCTAGATGACAAGCAGGCTTCAATCCCCACATCAGCTGTGAGCCTATTCACTAAATGCACTCCAGTAACAAAGAAAAGACATACAATATACTGCAGTGATTGATCAATAACCTCTTTATTGTAAAAATAAACAGTTTATGTTGCCAGAGAAAGCAGCCAACCAGCATTTATCTCAGCCGTCAGCCTTTTTCTCGCAGACTCTCATGCAATCCTCTTCCTCCTCCTTCCACTGGCCCCCATTCCCTGACCCCACCTAATTCAACTGCATTTTGACGTACCACCCTATGGTGTGTCGATTTATTATACACTCACCATTCTGGAAAAGACACATGGGCCAAAAAAAAAAAAACCCCGAAATCTTTTTCAAAGAAACTAAACGCATTATTCTACTTCATCGCTCCTTCAGTCCGTTGAACACCCTCCTCCACGTTCAGCTTTGTCGACATTTTATTTTCCCCTCTTCCTGTCTGAGTGCCTCCTGACCTTTTGCAAACTAAACAGACGCACACATCCACACTCACCAAACACATGATACAGTCTAGAAATGGAGGAATGTGGTTATTTGCAAAGGTTACATGGCCTCTGGCTATTAACGACCAACACTGTTGTGGGTTTGGATCAAGAGGAGAGCAGTAGCCATGAACACTCAGCATACCTACTGCCCACTATGTACTGTTTCTTGGTGCTTATCATGTTGTCTGTGACAGCAAAAATAAATTACAACTGACCAAAATGTACCAGTTCTTATCCTTTTAAAGTATGGCTTTTAAATTGGGGTATACCGCTTATGTGTTCATAAATTTTGCATGCTGACTTTGCTCAGACTCCTAATTTGCTTCACTGTCTTTCTTGACCAATGCTATTCAATTCTCATACAATCACGGTATCTTCATGTGAATGTATTCAAATGAATGCGTGCGTAATGCAAGGCACTCACACTGGCAGATCACATTTTTATTCTCGTGTCAGAGACAACATAAACACATATTCTAGAAAGCTTGCCCTAAAGTTATGCTAAGGAGAGAAAAACATTGCCTAGTGAATTATACTGAAGCAAGTTTTCGAAAGGTTGTAGCCTCGATCGACTTTCTTGGATAATTTTTCAGTTGACTCTGCTCAACGTTGAGTTTTTACAGTCGGCCTTTTTTTTTTTTAATGATTACACCTACCTGCAGTTGAATTTCTGAGTGTTGTGACTTTTTAATGCAATTTAGTTTACTTGTGGGATACGTTCAAGGCTTTTTTTTTTTTAAAGTGTAGATTTATTTATTTTGAACACAGTATAGTATACGGCTTTTGCATAGCTTCTGAACATTGAAGGATTGCTCCAAGTTGATTTGTTTTTTGTTTTTATTCTGGCTTAATCTGTGCAGTGGTCACAAAACCATAGCATTGCAAATACCGTATTTTCCAGACTATAAGCAGCTATTGTTTTCCCCACACTTTAAACCATCCGGCTTTTAATGTGATGCTGGTTATTTATGAATTTTTACTGACGAGCTTCAAGATGACAATATATTTACGACACATCTGACCAATGAAAATACATATCAGAGTGGACCGATGAAACTGTCCCGAGTCCGCCCTCATACTGAATATTCATCGTCATTTGTTGTTAGAGTGTGCACACGGGCTGCCTGAAAGGCAGAAGTCTCTGTGTATATAGCAATTCGCGGGCGTTTAGGAGTGAACATGGAGGATATAGTAGAGTGAAAATAAGCATCTTGATATGTGTTTAATGAGCATATGGAACAAGTGCCATAAATACCAAAATCTCTGCGGTGTACCCCCATCTCTCTGTTGTTTGTTTGGCAAATGACTCCCAACATCACTGGCAACTGAAAACAAGCGCTGACGGCTAGTCATGCAACACAGCATTTCTGGCCATGGAGTGAAATCCCATGCGCTTCCAAAACACATAAGAAGC